ATCTCTTTTACATTACTCTTTACAGAGCCAGGTATAGCTCACTTCCAGCTCTAGGCAGGTTTTATGAGTTTATTACTTGGGGTATAAACCCTTGCCTTGAACTAGGACTGCTGGGCTAGGCACTGCACAGGGAACAGGCAGACAGATCCTGCTCCGGTCCTTCCTGCTTTGCTTTAAGCTTGACCATTCATCACACAAAATCATTCCTGGAAATACATGATACCTCCTTTTCCTACCTTATTGCATACCTAAAATACCTCTAGGAACCTCTCCAAACCCTGAACCTCCTCTTAAGTGTTAACAGCACATTCTGAAATACTTTGTCTAGACCTGAAATATGTTTCAGCAGCAAAGTCCGGGGGTGAACCGACAGCGTATTTAGTCCATGGCAAAATTAACTGGAGGAGAGGCTAATCTTCGAGGCCAACACATCCTGCCTTCTCTCCAACAGCTTGAGGAAAATAAGGCAGGAACTGGGTTGACCAACACTTTCCGCACCCGACACGGGATTTCCCAAAATCTGAGACCCCACCTGGAGTGCTGCGTCCAGCTGTGGCGCCCTCAATACCAGAAGGATATTGACCACTTGGAGCGAGTCCAGAGGAGGCCATGAAGATGCTCAGAGGGCTGGAGCACCTCTGCTATGACGAAAGGCTGCGAGACCTGGGCTTGTTCAGCCTGGAGAAGAGGAGGCTCCGAGGAGACCTCATTGCAGCTTTCCAGTATCTGAAGGGGGCCTGCAAGGGTACTGGGAGAGGACTTTTTACAAGAGCCTGTAGTGATAGGACAAGGGGTACTGGGTATAAATTGAAATCAGGGAGGTTTAGATTGGATATCCGGAAGAAATTCTTCCCAGAGAGGGGGGTGAGGCACTGGCACAGGTTGCCCAGAGCAGCTGTGGATGCCCCATCCCTGGAAGTGTTCAAGGCCAGGCTGGATGAGGCTTTGAGCAACCTGGTCTAGTGGAAGGTGTCCCTGCCCATGGCAGGGGGGGTGGAACTAGATGATCTTTAAGGTCTCTTCCAACCCAAACCATTCTATGATTCTATGATTCTATAAAAGGCCAGTCTGATCAGCTGTGGGCTCAGACAGCCTTTCCCAGCTGGTATGAAATAAACCCAAGCGACTACACCCTCAACTTCAGATTCCCCAAGCCAATGCCTACAGACAGCTGGGTGATACACACACGAGTCTAATTCAGCTATTTCAGCACATACAAAACACCTTGTCACTGCCCAAAAAGAAAGTAAGAGGTAGGCATCTTCCTGTGCTTGCACTACAAACCCAGGAAAACACCTGAAAATAAACAAGACACAGCCCTGCATTACTATGAAAATACTTCCCTCTAGTGGAAAAATCTATGAACTGACCACTTTCCGTTAACTTCTCAGTTGAGACCTGAAAAAACAAATGCCCGAAGTATACAAAACGCTGCTGCTGAAACAGTAAGTGGTGAGTGCATTCACATATGGAACCATGCTTATGCTTGGATCTTGTGTCTCACACTTAATGCTTGACCTCTTCCTAGCCGACAGATCCATTTTTTGGGAAGTCTGGAGATGCTGGAGCTGAAGAGATGTGAGAAACTGTCCCTTCCACCGTAATTTCCACCTCCGGGCTAAACTTTGGTTATCCATACGAACATCAGGTACGGGATTTTCCATTAAGGCCTTGGCTTCTGGAACACGCTTATTCCCTACAATGAAAAGTTTGTCAGCCTTGGGGTACGCCTGCCTGAGGGAACGAGAAGGAAAGAGGGAATACTCGTGCGAGATGGCAGCAGCACCACGTGAGACTCAATGCTGTCAGTGAGCTCTCGTGATGCTCACGTTGTTAACATAATTACTGCCTTGTGCAGGGATAAGCAATAGAGATTTATAAAAGAAACCCATAAAAACCCAGCTCCAAACAAAAAAGATTTTCAAGGATCCACAAAACAAGACAAATAAAAGTCATTAAAACTTACATACTGTAATTTATAGAAATCAAAATCAATGCATCAATAGTTTCACATGCCAACTATGGAAGGCATTTTGAAGGTTTTGCTGAAACTGGTAATGAGAACGTCAACCCAAACCAACCCATACACACACACCCCCCATAGCAGAACACTTCATGAGCACAAAGGTTGCAGAACATGTGTCTGGGTCAGCTGTCCGGGCTGTGTCCCCTCTCAGCTTCCTGTAGCAGAGAAACTGGGAACACAGGGACAGCAGAAACAGGGAAATCCCTTGGCTTAATGTAAACATTGCTTGGCAACAACAAAATCAGTGCTCATCAACATACTTCTCTGCGCAGATCCAAAACATAACCCCATTGCTAGCTACTATGAAGAAAATGAACTCCACCCCAACCAAAACCAGCACAAACATATGTGTGTGTGCATTTACATACTAGAGCCCATTTCCTCTGGGAAGACTGACCAGGTCTGTTAGGTTTGATGCCTTTTCTAATTCAGGTTACTGAAAAGACACCCAATCTTTTCAGATTAAATCACACCTCTGACATCTATTACTCTCCCTTATTCCTGTTATCCTTCTCACACGACTACACTCGCTCTTTGTGATGGTCTACTGGGTCACCAAGCATCTATGATCTTAAAGGTCTTTCCCAACCTAAATGGCTCTAGGGAGACCTTACAGCAGCCTTCCAGTACCTGTAGGGGCTACAAGGAAGCTGGGGGGGACCTTTTACAAGGGCCTGTAGTGACAGGACAAGGGGTAATGGGCATGAATTGAAAGTGGAGAGATTACGGTTAGGTAACAGGAAGAAATTCTTCCTGGAGAGGGCGGTGAGGCCCTAGAACAGGTTGCCCAGAGAAGCTGTGGATGCCCCATCCCTGGAAATGTTCAAGGCCAGGCTGGATGAGGCTTTGAGCAACCTGGTCTAGTGGAAGGTGTCCCTGCCCATGGCAGGGGGGTTGGAACTAGATGGTCTTTAAGGTCCCTTCCAACCCAAACCATTCTGTGAGTCTATGATTCTGTTACCCCAAGCAGTTTACACACGACAGCCCCGAAGAAAATGCAGCAGCTTATGATTCCAGGAGTTCTAAGAGAAAACCAAACCCCACAAGAGGTGACAGGAGAATTATTCTGTATCTCTTCAGAATTCTCAAAAGAGCTCCAGTGGTTCTTAAAATCTAGAAGTCCTAGAACTACCCACCCTCTTTCTCAAGAAACGAACTGCTGAAAAGATACCCCAGGTATTTTTTGCTCAAGTCTGATTTCAAGTGTCAAGCTAACAGATAGCAGAGGACTGGAACAGCCATCTTACCTTTCCACCTGTAGTGCCGCAGCCTTGCGGAGGCCAGGATTAAGTCTCTGCCGATGCGTCACCACTATAAAAGACAGAAGACCGCCGTGCCACACTTCACATCTTCATGTTACACAGGCTGGTAAAGCCTCCTAGGGTGCAGCTCAGCTGGAACAACCACCTCTCCCTGCTTGAGACATGCGTGATGGGCTGAAGCTTGATGTAACGCAAGAATTCCAAGCCGAAGGCAAGTGTGTACAAAATAATTTATTATAGCATAACATATGTTGGCAATATTTTACAGTGAGTTTTCCATTCAACAGTTTTGAATCTAAACAGATGACACACAAAGGAGTATTTTCATTAGAACAGTTTATTCGTCTTAATAAAAACCCCTCTTTGTGAACTTATATTTGCCTTTGAGGGGCTAGTTAATATTACTGAAATTATTTACACTGCAGTGAGATAAAAACAAACCAAGACTGAATGATTCCATTACAGTTTCCAGAAAACGGATTTCCTGTACAAGCCACAGTATAGGTATGTTTTGATAGCAGTTCTCATAGGATGTAAAGCTGGCATATGGAGCCATGTTGTCCAGCAATACTACAGTTTAAATAGGTATATTGGATTCGGACTTCCATTTGGATGCTTTGTCTATTTAATAGTTAATGCACCAGAAAACAAAAGTAAGAAAAAGGTTCGTTACGATTTGTAGTCAGCCTCTTCGCGCTCCCTTCAATAGCTTTTAAATGTAAAACATACTCCTCACATACTATTTGCTTCCCAGCACCTAAAGCGATAGTATTTCGGCACAAGAAGTACTGGAGTATTGGCCGTAAGTGGACAACTAAGACTTGGACTGGAGGTAACAGAGCAAACTTACCAGTGGATTTTTATGATGCAGAACTGTTTTCCCCATTACTGCACCTTCTGCATTTGCCCAGAACTGGAGCAGCTTTGTCAGTTTAAATGGCAACGGGTGAACAGATGGGTAAACCAGAAGGAAGATGGAAAAAAGGACAGCAACAGTATCAGATGTATTATGTCTTCCTAGGGAATTGCTTCAGGATACTCACACTCAAGCTGACTGTGAACTTAAGGAAACAATAGCTATGGAACACAAGGTAGATAAAGTAGTTTTCAGAAAGCCTTTCCTTTTTTTTTTTAAGCACAAACCTAATCTTCATATCCATCAATACAGGTTCCATGTAAGACACACCTGACAAACATGCAAACCCCCAATGCTTTCATTGTGACTGTGCTTCAAAAGAAACCAAACTGACCAAGAATAAAAACAAAATTAAAAAAATGAACAAACCTGAAAAAAAAAAACCCTAAAGAACAGTAAAAAACAAAAGAGGGCAATTCAAGCAGCACTTCAGTCTTAATCTGCTAAAAACGCTCAAATGATAATTTATTAACAAGATATGATCACGTTTATCTGTATACGCAACGACACTTATGTGAAAGCAGTCTTCAACATCCACAGTTTCTGTGAGGGAGGGCTGATGGATTATTAAAAGACTTAAAACTGTACAAGTATAAACATGAAAAATGCTGATTAAGGATAATGTTTACATAAATATTGGCAGTTTTTGTTGGGAGGAAAAAAAATAAACTAATAGCATACTCCATTTCATTTAACTACCCAAAGATTTTGTTTTATACCTGTTAAAGATATTAAAATACAACCTGGAAAAGTAACCCTGATCTGTATCCAGCCAGCATGTCATGAGTCAGAGTGTCGTGCAGACGTGTGCACGTAGGTATACGCACACGCACACACGTGCTGCTTCAAATTTCGTTAGAGAGCAGATCATGGTTAACGGCTGTATGATTCACGGACGCGATGCTGCTATCGTCCTCGTTCGTGGCAGGCATAAAGGCAGACGTAAAAGGGAACAGTTTATGACACGCTGCTTGATATTCTTCACATTGAGCGTGGCAGCTGCCGAAACTGCCGTCAAGCAGTGCCTCAAAAACCTTTGTTAACGTCTAAAGAAACAAAAGTAACAGTTATCAAGCGTGGTTTACAATTGTTTAATTGCTAAAAAAGACGCACTGTTTGTTAAACAACACTAAGCTGAGCAAACACAGGTTCTCTGTTGGCATTTGGGTATTTTTACAGTTACTGAGGGGAAAAATTTGCCACCTTGTTCTTGAAAATAATAGATTAAAGATATACGAAGCATGTACATTATACTGCAGTTAAGCATACATTGAAGATCTCACACATCTTTCAGCTTAAAAATACTCTTTTACCTTCACATTCTTGTCTCTCATGTTTTTATCCAATCTAGTAGCAACAGCAATTGCCTTTTCTTGTCTCGATTTGTCCAGGAAATACATCATCTTTGCACCTTATCACAAAAAAGAACACATTTAGATAACAGCATTCCTAAAGGCAATGCTGCAGATACAGACACGCAGAATCCAAAACCTATAAATCAACATGACTTAGGACTTCCTACAAGTTGTAAGAAACTGTATTTTCCTCCTTTATTTTTAAAACTGATGAAACTACAGCTATTTTGAAATTTAGTAGAAGCACAAGGATTGAGTAACACAGACCTGCTTCTCACAAGTGAAATGCCTCACTTCACTGAAGACCTATCAGCCAAGAAATACACCTGAAGAGTATGTCCACGACTAAGCCCTTCAAGTCAGTGGGCTAAATGAAATCCATCCCACAGACGTAGACAGTCTGAATTCATTTGAAAACTACCAGAGGTAAGTGAGCCCTACAGTTACTGAACAACTGGTGGTGAGGCACTGGAACAGGTTGCCCAGAGAAGCTGTGGATGCCCCATCCCTGGGAGTGTTCAAGGCCAGGCTGGATGTGGCTTTGAGCAACCTGGTCTAGTGGAAGGGGTCCCTGCCCATGGCAGGGGGGGTGGAACTAGATGGTCTTTAAGGTCCCTTCCAACCCAAACCATCCTGTGATAACTGTGGAACACATTCCTGAAGAAATTCAGGCCAGTCTACGTGCACATGGCAGGGAGTAAGGCCAAGCTGGGCTACTGACCTGGAGCTGAGTGAAATAGCTTAGGCACAAGGGCAGTGTAGTGCACATGCGGTGCTTCGCGTGGACAAGACTACGCTGGTGAGAAGACAGACATCATGTGAATGGAACTATGCGGCTTCTTGGACCACAGTGTATCAAAAGTGGTCTGGGCATCTCTGCAGAATACTGTGTTCCTCCTCATATGATAGCTGCCTTAATTGAAAATCTCATCTTAATGAGCACATAGGCATTTCGTATACCCTCCTTTTTCCAATGTCCAGCCACCCCTCACTACTTAATCTACTACAAAGAACAAAAAGTTTAAGAAATCATTTTACTGGAAAAGTTCAAAACCCACATTTTGAGTGTATTGTCTCCTCTTGCTCAAATCATTTCCCCAAATCTTAAATTTGTTTTCCTAACTAAAGTTTCCTAGTTCTTATTTTTTGTATCCAGAGGGTTTCGGAAAATAAAGCACTAGGCTGAATATATTTGGATTTGAGTCATGACTTTTTACACTTTACCTAGTTACATCTGTTAAAGTCAGGGAGGCTACTGTACAGAAAAAGGGATTAAAATTTTGCTTATAATTTTTTTCCCCTAGCAATTATTTTAAGCTAAGTACACACTTATTTGTACACTCAGACTTCAGGTTTCAGAGACTTAAGGTTTAGGTCTTTCAGACCTTTACATTTCCAAACTTGGACTGAAGTTAACAGTTTAAGGAGTTATAAGTTGTACAGTAGGTAAAAGCCAGTCACTTCAAACCTGTTTCAGCATAAACAGAAGACTGACACATAGGCGAGGACCTAAAGCTACCAAGAACACATGTATGGTTGGTTCACTCCTGATTTCACTTCAAAATCCTAATCCCGTATTTGTTCCCACTGCCTGTGAATTGATGCGCTGTTGGATCACAGCTATCAAGGGACCCTGAGGTTCATGGATTGACCCTAAGGAGTTTTTACACGTTTAAGCCCCTCACCTCCACTGAATGTGAACAGACTCACCCTCTTCAAAGGGGTCCCTGACACCCCTCTAACACGGGTGCCCCCACTGTCGATGATCTAGCTTGAGTTCTTCTCAGGGGCACTAAAGGTGTAGACAGTGTGAAGCCAAACTCAGAACTTAGCCTGTACAATTACTATGAAAAAGTGACCCTGATTTCTCCCATAATATCAGAGAACCAGAAAAGAGAACCTGGAAAGCATCCAGTTAGATGCCCAACAATGACAAGATTAGAAAAACATATCCACAAGAATCAGGAACAATTGCCTGCTGGAATATCTGTGCTTGACTTCCCGAATCTTGAGCCTCCTCACAAGAAAAGAGTACACATATTTCTCTCAAGATCCTGTCCTGAAACAAGGATTTTTCAGTAGCCTCTATAAATTTGGGGTAAGTGACCTAACCTTCCTTTATGAGAGACAAACAATCCTATGAAGCCAACTAAACACACCAGTGTAAGCGTGTGAATTTCTGGCTCACTAGAATTCATATTATGAATTATGGACTGCAGATAAAGATACCGGTTAAATCACTTAAATACTCTCCTTTTCAAGAGCATAAAAAAAAATTAAACAAACCTGACAGTTGGTGCTGAATGGAGGTAGCGTTGTGTTTAAGAAATTCTTCATTAAAACTTTCCAAGTTCTTGTTAACAAAGATTTTCTGCATTTCTTGAGTTAGGACCTTGCTCACAATTTCTGGGAGGTTACTGTGGTCAGATACTGGACAGGGGAGAAGCAAAAAAAGCCATTTAAAACAACCATAGAAAACAGTGTGAAATCATGAACATCAGTGCCAAAACTCACATTTTTAAAATTTGGGCACTGAAAGAAATATATTACAAGTTCCAAATAGGGCAACAAAAGCATTACCAATGCATTTACACATGAAACATTCAGAGTGCTCTGCCATGTAAACTTTCTGCTGCAAGTTGACAACACATAACTTGCTTCAGTCAAACTCCCATATCTGCCACTTATTTTCGTAAAACTTAAAGAATTTCAAGGATCTTTGGAACATGTTTTTCACTCTGTGAAGTCTAGCCAAAATGAGTTATTGGGTCCACCAGGTGGATTAATGGAGGAAAGAGTATAATAAAATACATACGCAGTACCCTGCATGGCACAACCTGTGTTTTCCAGGGTATTACCATGCAAAATAAACCATTTCTTTAAATTTTTATTCATATCAGTTTGTGTTTCAAGGGTATTAACTACAAACTTCAGTAATGCATAACATCCTTGTACAATATAACCTGCTGGAGCACCTCTGCCATGGGGACAGGCTGAGAGAGTTGGGCTTGTTCAGCCTGGAGAAGAGAAGGCTCCGGGGAGACCTTATAGCACCTTCCAGTACCTGAAGGGGCTACAAGGAAGCTGGGGGGGACTTTTTACAAGGGCCTGTAGTGACAGGACAAGGGGTAACGGGTTTAAATTGGAAGTGGGGAGGTTTAGACTGAACATCAGGGAAAAAAAAAATCTTTCCTGGAAAGGGTGGGGAGGAACTGGCACAGGTTGCCCAGAGAAGCTGTGGATGCCCCATCCCTGGGAGTGTTCAAGGCCAGGCTGGATGAGGCTTTGAGCAACCTGGTCTAGTGGAAGGTGTCCCTGCCCATGGCAGGGGGGTTGGAACTAGATGGTCTTTGAGGTCCCTTCCAACCCAAACCATTCTGTGATTCTATACGTACTTCCTACACACATACCAGCTTTAGAGAATTTAATCAAGCACTCGTGTAGCCATGGGTTATTACTGTTGATGGCAAAAGCTCTTTTGACAGACTGTAACATTAACAGAAACTTTCCTGTGGGAAGGAGAAAAAATAAACACATATCAGTGTTAAGAATACAGAATTTTTTCTCTTTATATCTACTACTGTTTTCTTTAGTAAATCTAGTACAAATATTAGAAACATCAGTGCCTACAAGGAATTAGACAGGAGATTTATTTTTCCCATCCAAATTGCTTAATAACATAGAAATGCCTGCTGCTCAAACCCTGGCAACACTGCATAGATGATGCTACCACCTGTTTGGCTTTGTTTTCCTCTAGATAATTAAAGATCTTTCTGCAGCATTTATTAGTATATACTACGAGTTATTTGCTCTTTGTATTTTTGTTTAAGGGTGGCTAAACAAAAATACTATTTCCCCGAGAATTACTGGATATGATGCAAACCCCAGAGTCAGTCAAGTAAACATCTATTCCAGACCATTTTAGGCTACACTCGGGTAACACAGGATACAGTGAGGGGTTAAAATTCTGTGGAGAAGAAAAAATATCATGCAGTACTTTACCTTTTCTAAAGTATATTTCAAATGCTAATAAATGTGTTTCTATGTCATCTCCAATAAGATTCTTAAGTGGTATAAGGAACTTAATGGCTTCTTCTAATGGATTTTCTACCTGTTTTAATAAAAACACAGTGAAATTTAAGGCTTAAAGTAAACATCAAATAAAACCCATGAAGGACAGTTTCTGTTATTCAGAGCATTTAAATCAGAGGCCAAAAGGTGAACTGTAGACAGCTTTCAGAATTGAACCACAACATGTTTATTTGAACAGCAGTATTTAAAAGTGTTTACTCATGATTCCATACTGACAGAAGACAACACCACTGCTAACTCTGTCACTGCTTATGTAACGTACTCAGTACTGTAATTTAGCATTTAGGACACATATCACTGCCTTACACAACAAACTTCTGGAGTTACTGTGATAAGAGACACTTCTTTGTGCTCAGAGAAACACTGGCTCATGTCTTCAAATTTTGAGAACTACAATCACATTTCTGTTCGTTTTTCTCTATTCACTGTACGAAAACCCAAGGTCTTCGGGCAAGAATCACCTGTTTGCTCAGTGTCTGTTTTAATGAAGGATGGCCCTACTGTTTGGGAAAAAAAAAGTAAAGAAGGTAACAATATTATTAATATAGAACTTTGATTTACTAGAGGAAAAATAAAGTGCAATTAATGTTTAGGACTTAAAAGCTTAACTACGTGCTTGACAGGTAATGAGTGTTGATGATTTTTTCTATGGATGGTTCCTTTTGAAATGGAGATGGTGAGATTGCTGCACAGCCCATGCATTTTACACTTCTCCCCAGACACCTGACAGGAAAAAACAAGCCAAGAGCAAACAAGCACAAGACAGATCCAAATAAAGTATCAAACGGTATCTTTGCATGCAAAAATGATTTTATAAAAACACTCTGGATTCTTTCAGGGGAACAGGATAGTAATCCTGTATTATAAGCTTTTTATGATAACCAGATAAATTTAACATGAAAGACCATGCTAACCCTTTCCAGTTTTTCAGGAACTAGCTCTTCCCTGGGTCCACTAGTTTCCTCTTCCTCTTCATCTCGCTTTTTCTTTTGATTCTTCTGTTGTCGCTCTCTTTCTGCATGTTTTCTTTCCTCTTCAAGTTTGGCTTTCTTCTGTGCTCTTCTCTGCTTGCTAAGCATTTTCTTCAATTCTTTGGCTGAGAGATTTTCTACAAATTAAGGTAACAAACAGGTAATTAAATACTCTCTGAATAAATTAAAAAAGTTGTTTCTCTCAAACAACACTCAGACCTGCCACTATACTCCTCTCCCATGTAAAAATGTGCATACTTGTACAACGGTTTCCATAAATATCAGCACTTTGCCAGACTACCATCACTATACAGTCCAACATTACTACTGAATTACTATTTACAGCATAACACAGCACTTGATCTTGCATATTTTCCAACATACTTGTTAGAGAAGCCTCAACTATTTGAAAGGTGAAGTACAAAATTGTTGCATCTATGACAGGTTTTACCTCGGAAAACAAACAATGGTTTTCAAGGGCAATACTCCCATACTGGCTGTAGCTCAGCTGGTTCCAATGCCAACCAGTAACACCCAGTTGGATTTGCGTTCCATCTTAAAACAAGCTTGTTATCTCCCATTAAAGTGTTTGAACAGTACACGTCCATGACAATTGCACTTATTTTCTGCAAATGCCATGGGATGGCTAAACATCAGTTTCGGCTGCAAGCAAGTTTTGGCTGCAAGCAAAAACTGATGTTGTTTGGGGTGAGGAGAGGTAAAATACTCTGGTATGTATTAGCAGGACCTTTGTGTGAACCTTCAGGCTGCTTGCTGTGTTGAGATTTGAGACTGAAGTAGCATTTAGATAAACCAAGAAGGATTAACAGTTGCATGGAAGGCAGAACACACAGAAGACTGTTTCCTACAGGTTCACACAGCAGTGAGGAGCCTTCAGCCTCTCCATTCACCCCCCCTTTTTTTTTTTTTTGCTCTTCCCTGTTGTCCCCAGTGACCTGACCGATTTAGCCAGAATAACACTGTAGTTTCCACTCTGTTTACTGTGGTGTTTTGCTGAGGACAGGATTTGTGCTAATAACGTGGCAAGGAACAGAGCAACGAGCTACTGAGGGACTAACACATCCCTTTTGTGGCTATTGCACCATGACCTCTCCCCGCTGGGAGCAGCCACCATTGTGACAGAGAAACAAGGAGCAGGAAGCGTTCTTTTTACCCCATTCATACAGTGCGGTCTTCCCCTGTGGATGAGCCTACTGAATCCCAATGCACAGCAGGCAAATGAACTAAGATTGCTCCTTAGACTCTTCTCCACCTTATTTTCTATGACATACCGCTATCAAGATCCTCTCTCATACACTGATCTTACATTATATAAGGAAAGAAATTAAAACTGGAGAGAAAGAAAAAATGCAAGTTCAACTGTGCTGCAAAACGAGCCTCTTCTCATACGCACTTCATTACACACAGGCAGATACAGAAAAGCCTATTACTCACATGTGAGTGCTAAGACTGTATTGGCAATATTAAGTGTCATTTTTAGTTTAACATTCGCCCATCCCCATGTCAAATATTCTTCCCTTTGCAAAGAGCCAGACATTAATTTCACCCCTTCAGTCAACAGTTACTGCAGTGCTCTCAGTAGCTGAGATTCCACAAAAGGAAAAGCAACTGTTTATCTTAAAGGAAAAAACCCTCATAACTCATTTGTCATTAAATCCTTAGATTCACAAACCACACCTCAACAGTTTCTTAAAGACATCTGCTTTCCATTTAAAACTAATGTTAAATCATTTCCGAAATGTATTAATTTTGCTAAAGCACACTTATTCCTGTATTCTTTGGTCCTGAAGTTATGTTAACAATGAAAATATTTAACAGTGTTAACTAGTATTACCATGTAATAAATCAAATATACTAGATGAAAATTAAATTCCTACAATTCAGACTGTCTTCCCACTAAAATCTATCCCTTGTTTCATAATTCATCTGTTAATGACACTTCTCTTAAACAGATTAATGACTGAACTGAATTTTATTTTTCCTCTTAATATTCTGAAATGCCACTTCTCCCAAAGTATCCCCACTACAGCTAGGTTAATTCATGTACTAGTTTTACAACACAATGAGAGGAGAACGGAGAAGACAACAGCTCTGACATGTTATTTATGATCTCTTTTCAGTTACCAAGTCGTGACAGAAAAGAGGACAAACTTGCATAGGTTACAACTCATTTATTCTGTAGCACATAACTAACTTTGCTTAATAAGCTTTTACATGTGTCATACACATAGAAGCCTCCATTAAGGTCTGGATACCTGAATTCACTTCTTGTTCTTTGCTTTCGTTGGTAAGAGGATTATCATGCAGCTTCAAGTAGATTTCAATTGCTGATCGAGCAGCCTTGAAGTAGAAGGCATGTTTCCTGAGCACATCTTCCAACCTCAAGAGGTCTACGTAGGCACGAAGAGTCATCTTTCTCATGCAGTACGTGTGGAAGTCAAACTGATCATCTGTTATCTCAAAAAAGTGCTTCAAGAAAAAAAGAACACACACGTAACTTATGCAATTTCCTTTCTTAGTCTCTCATTTTAATTAGATGGAAGTGAATGAAGTTACAACTGATATTATTTGCAGGCGATATTGAACAGGCATAGAAATGTCCTTACAGAACCGACTGTCCAAGAGAACCTGTCAGTAGTTGAAAAACCCACCCAGAAAAATCTGTGTTGACTAAAACTGTAATGTGATCTTTCAAAGACTTAGGCACTCTTTAAAAAGCCAACTGAAATGTATTTTATATTGAATCCTTTTCACTTCAAATTTTCCATTCCTTTTCACATAATAGCTAGGGATGACATCTATTACAATAAATCAAGTATTAATCTGTTTTTAAAAATCATTATATTAGAAGCTTTATATATCTATATACAAGAAAATCATGCTGATTACATCAAATATCTTCATCAGTGTGTGAGAAATATTGGGAAAGAAAAGATAGTTGTTGCACCTACTTACCCTTTCTACTTCGTGGCATTTTTTCAAGGCATCACCATACTTCCCCAGCCTTTGATATGCTGCGGCACATTCGGTCTGGAACCACATACACTGCATCTCGTTTAGGTTTTCCATAGCAGAAGTTCCTTCCTGAAGTAAGTGGCATTATCACTTTTTGCTATTATAATTTACCAGCTGCTTCTTTCAACTATAACTAGTTTCAGGCCATTAGAACGAAACAGTCAATCCTTCAACTACTTAGAATATAATACAAAATAGATTATAGCCACTCAATGACTGAGAATAATACTTGTGACACCCTATGCTTCCCAAGAGAGAAAGGGGTAGATTTAACTGATTAAAACAAAACCCAAACAATTATGTTAAAGATGAATGTCTCAACAGATTAAGATTAATGCATGCTTGTCTACACAAACTTACTTCTACAATTCTGGGGGCAGAAAACAAAACTATTTTTTAAAATCCTAAAGTCTATCAAATAATTTTCATTGTTTTCTCCTCTGTCAGGTAAGTGGCATCTACTAGTCTAAAAATCCACCAGTGTACTTAGTGCTTTACCATGCAGTATGACAATTTTAAGTTTCTTCAAACTTGTTAGTCTAGGTAAACAGAGTGAGATTTATACTTCATACTTTTACAAGAAGAAATCCTAGGATTTACTCTTTATCTTAATCTAGAGCATTGAAACTATAAGCAAACAGAAAGCATGTTCCATGTATCATGAATGCTAGCCACCAAATTTTCAGAACAGTCTTTACACGAGAAAGAAAAACACAGTTCAGCTCACAACGTTTAATAATTTAGGATCAGATTTATCCTATCTTACCATAGGTCTCTAAGCTAAAGTTCTGTGTTTCTTGCTCTACTACTTCCAAAAATACACTGAGTTTTAATAATCGAATTTTCCACCATTCCCAGAAATATTTGGAAAGCTTGAATTCACTTTGAAGTGTTTTCATACCTAAAGTTAAGAAGAATTAAGGAGCCTAATTCATTTATGTGCTCCAGGAAATCCCACTAAGTAGCCATCTTATTTAGTTACATATATAATATGGAAAACTGGTCTTTATAAATCTAATTTTTGTTCAGTGTCAAAAAGTTGGACCTTAAAGTGCTTACCCCATCTTTTAAGGATAGGATTTGCTTTAACAAAATTGTCTGTAGTACTAGCCTCAAGGGATGAAAAGTTCAAGTCCAAATTAATTTACGTTAAAGCTAAATCGTAACGAGTATAGTGCGCATTCCTCTGTGGTTAGCACAGATGGAACTGCCGGGATGCAGTTCCATAGAGGCTCTCAGGAGTATGGCAATAAAAACACTTCTGGATAACCACCTTCGAACAACCATTTTTTCCACTATTTACTGGGTCTACACAGCTGGAGCACTGCATCCAGCGCTGAGGCCCAGAGCAGTGGGGCTAGACTACATGATCTTCAAAAGGACCCCTTCCAATCCAAACCATTCTATGCTTCTACAGAGTTATCTAACACTAAGTGAAAGAGCATTATCTTAAAAATGGACACTAATAAAGTTGGGGTTTTGTGTCAGAAGATACAGGAGTGAAAAATAAACTGCCAGACGCAAACAGAACCTCCCTTCATTAAAGCCATATACTTACTCTGGTGAACTTCGAGCACATCTCCTCTGCATCCTTCACCATATTTGCTCGCAGCATGTATTTAGCACACTTAGAATTGATAAATCTGTCTGCAGTGTCCAAAGACTGTGCTTCATCCATCCATTTGGCAGCTTCCTTGAGGTTACCTACATGCTGTTAGGGAGAAATTAAATAGTTAACTTTCAGTATAAGACTGCTATTGGCCAACTCCTGAAGTCTACAGTTACTGGTATTTCTCCCTCAGAAATAACAAAAGGCAGTATTATTGCTTACGGTCCCCCCCCCCGCTCCCCAGATTTTTTTTAGAATGACAGTTTGCTGCAAGTTGTGACTTGCTTTGCAAAACCTAAACAAAAGGGGTTTAGTTTTCTTCCACACAGAAGATTGCCCGAAAAGAAACATGCATGAAAACCAACGCTCACAACCATTACTAACTGAAATAATACCCACACAGTCACACCAGTTCACTGGGTAGTTGGGGGTCTTTTTCTTATAAACTAGGTACTCTACATGTCCAAATTCACTTTTTACCTTGTAAATTTTTGCTTTTAAATAGAACAGTTCTATTAATGTTGGAGTGCTTGCAATTGCAGCGTTAATGTAATCCAAGGCCAAAGAACACTGGCCAAGTTTGTCAAAGTGCTGTGCCAGGAAATATCGGACCCAGAGCAGTGTCGTTGGGGGCTCTTTCTCTCCATTTTCTGCAATGAAACGGAAAATTAACAGTAACCAGTAAGGTGGAAGACTGCATTTGAAAAACAAACAAAAACAAAAACCCAAAGCTTGGCAAATTCAGTGAATATTTCCTATAATGCATTCATTTACCAGAAGATATTACAACTATTTTCTTTCAAGAAGTATCAGCACTTCAACAGTTCTTAATAACTGCCATAAACAGTAATATTAATTACACTGTGATTACTAAAAGACCAGAGAGACTTACCACATGTACTAAAAAGGTCACAAGTTTTCAAAGAGGCCTCATAACCAGTAACAAGTTCTTGGATTGTAGAAACCTGCATGTAAAAAAAAAAAATCAACTGAAGTTATGTTTTACTATCATGTTTAAATAAATTAATAGACTGGAAAAAATACTCAGGCAGAATTAGAGAAACTACACAGAAATAATTACTTAATTTGGAAAAAAATTGGATGCATCCTCATAGAGTTTACTTCACCTTTCATAAGCTACCTTTGATCACCCGTTTTAACTGGCAATATGGAAGGGACACAGGTGCAATTTTTGGCAGCTTACAGCAGAAAGTAATCAAGTACATTTGGTTAGTATCCTTTTTAAGCTATATTTTGGAATACTTATTTATTTATGTTATTAGTTTAAGTGTCCAAACGGAGCCAACTGAAGAAAGGTGCATAGGAAAAAGACTCTACAAGAACTTCCCTTAACAATAAAGCCAGAGACTTGTGCAGTTTTCTAGCAGGCTGATATGTACTATTAAAGATTTTTTTTGTTTGTTTTTAAAAAGGTATTGTTGCCTAGAATATGGGCTGCAACTTTTGACACAAAAATCTATATACTGATTGATTTAAGGCTATTGATTTCTGAAACCAAACCTTGTCAACAATATTGTTGTTCATTCCAAGGCTGAAGACTCAAAATTCACCCATACAGTTTTGAATTCACACCACGGAGTTTGCTATTTACAATATATACAAATGTTAATATCTGCACACTTTGTGACAATGAAATAATTCCAATATCAGGTCCGTGGCTTACAAGAGCCACGTAGAATTCCTAAGCATTTTAAGAAATGCTCAACCTTGTTTTGTAGCTACATTCTAAACATGCCTATCATATCCAGCAAGTAACCAGCCCCTTAAGGGAACAAGAATACTAAAGAAAGAAAGAAAGAATACGGTCTCTCTATATATACCCAAAACACAGAAGAGACTTAAAGATCTGACTATAAGCATAATAATGGATAATGGCTACATTCACCAATTAAGTGAAATCTACAGATGGTAAAAACAAAAGTTCAACAGCTAAAAACCCAATCCTACATTAAGAAAAAAAAGCTGGTTGCAAAAGTAAAATTAAATACCAGAGGCAGAAAAATTTTAAAAAGTAGTATTTGACCAAGCATGGATACACTTCAAGATACACTCTGGGAGAGGAGGGAAACGGATTAAACCTTGTTCTAGAGGATTAAAGAATACAGTTTGAAGAATGGTATTTTATTTAGCCACAATAGGCAAAAAATGCTGAACATTTTGTTTCAGAAAGAGCAGCTAAGGTGACATGCCCAAAGTCAAATGCATCAAGCATAAATGTCTCAAAATGTAATAAAACATATAAACACATTCTGGAAAGCTCTGACAAACCTCATAAAAAATGTTTTCTGGAAGCATATTTACACCACATACAGTAAAGCGTTACTACACTTCAAATAACTACAGAATGATTAAGGGATGTAAAGAAGTCACAACTAAATGGACAAAGGCAAATAAATGCATTAAGCTGTTCTCTGGCCTCAGGTATTTATTTACTAAAAGAAACAGACTTGTAGAACAGTTTGGGTTGGAAGGGACCTTAGAGACCACCTAGTTCCAACCCCCCTGCCATGGGCAGGGACACCTTCCACTAGACCAGGTTGCTCAAAGCCTCATCCAGCCTGGCCTTGGACACTCCCAGGGATGGGGCATCCACAGCTTCTCTGGGCAACCTGTTCCAGTGCCTCACCACCCTCTCTGGGAAGAATTTCTTCCTGATATCTAATCTAAACCTCCCCACTTTCAATTTAAACCCATTACCCCTTGTCCTGTCACTACAGGCCCTTCTAAAAAGTCCCCCCCAGCTTCCTTGTAGCCCCTTCAGGTACTGGAAGATGCTATAAGGTCTCCCCAGAGCCTTCTCTTCTCCAGGCTGAAGTTGTTCAGGCTGTGGTCCACTTGTGACCACAAGTCTAGACTTCAGTAAGGCCTTTGACACTGTTTCCCACAGCATTCTCCTAGAGAAACTGGCTACTCATGACTTAGATGGGTGTGCTCTTTGCCGGGTGAAAAACTGGCTGGGTGGCCAGGCCCAAAGAGCAGTGGTGAATGGAGTTAAATCCAGTGGTCACAAGTGGTGTGATATGTAGATGTGGTGCTTCGGGACATGGTTTAGCTGTGGACTTGGCAGCGTTAGGTTAATAATCAAGAGGAATACTATAAAGAGTTGATTCCTTGGTTGTCTTTTGTTGCTATGCTCTCCACACCATTCTAAACAAAATCTTACCCAGAAACAGCTTAGCACTGAAAAAGCTCCGATACAGTGGTGGCACAACCAAGAACATGTTCTTAAGTAATATTTCTTGAGTAGTTCTGTCTCAAAGCTCCCTTTGCTCACAGAGGCACGTTCACAGCCTCCCTGAAAAGGACGACTTGATTACTTGTGATGGATGAGACAGACATACAGCTTGGCAAGGAACTTGTATCCCCTTCTCTAGCTCCCTGGAGAGACTGTACCCAAGGAGTCAGAGACAGTTAAGCTCTGTCCACGTAATTAATTTGCCGCCTGAAGTCCTCACCCCCACAAAAGCAGACAGACACTCGGATGCGAACCTTCAGGCCTAAGAAATATTTATGAATGGTAGCAGAAGCAGACTTCCAATGATCTATTATATCCAACACATGAGCCAGCTGGCACACTGCACAAGAGGTCTGAGGTCAGGCTCTTCCAGTGTATCTGCACAGGAAGGTACATATGGGCAGCCACCTAAAGAGGTTCAACTTCCTATGGCTTACTATAAATTTAACTGAAAGTATATCTAAGATCACAACATTTATAAGTTTACACAGTCCACAGAAGAACCAAACACACCTTTTCAGCAAGGAGCAAAACAGTTGAGTTTTTGTTTTTAAAGCAACATTCCTCCAATGCTTAAAAAAAAGTCCCATCTAGCTACACTGGAACATCAGATGTTGACACACAGATTTATTAGTGTAAAAAAGAAAATGCTTAGTATAGAAATAAGTAAAAGTATAAATACTCAGTTAAGGCAGCTATACACTAACTTAAAAAAAATCTCATTAGTCTCACTTGAAAGGTTTCTGCTCCACAACTTGTTATCCAGCCGAGACAGATTTACCCCACCCAATGAGGTATGAACCACAGAACAAGCCCACAGAGACTATTCAAACAGATTATTCCAACTGTGAAAGGCTGTTCAGCCTCATAGGGGACTCTCCATTGATGATTTAGTGTATGGCCAGCATCTGCATGCAATTAAAAAAATCACAATCAATTAAAAACTATTTCATCGCCTCATGCCATGAAAGCAGAAATAGGAAGACACAACAAGCAGCCTTTTGCTTAACCCAAGTCTCCTTAAATTTCTTATACACCTTCCAGTCACCTTGCAAATGGCCATCTTGACCCAGGCAGTAGAAAGTGTTTATTATTTACTTTTCTATAAAGCTAATCCTATGGTCTCATAGTCAGTCGCTAACTTCAGCATTCCTCAGCGTGTGGTGGGTAAGCAGACACAGTTCAGGAACTTCACTGAAGAGCTACCAGCTTATAAGGACTGGCCAGACAAAGCATTAACTCTGCAGTACCATATTTAAAACAAACAGAATAAAAAGCAAAAAAAACTAGCCCACTCCACAACCCTGGACAGTTACACATGTTCTTTGTTCCCTGATCTAAGAAATCAGATACATGTTTTGTAAGCAGTAGAGAAAGTAGCCTTCTATGTTTCTTTACAGCTGATCTACCCTCTAAGAAAGTGGACACATCTTGGTTTATTGTATATTTTCATAGAAAGAATGAGATACATAAGCTTTATTACCTTTCAGATGTTTCTTTACACTTAGTTCCTTAGAACTGAGCACCTCTATGACTTGTAATCACTTTCAATCGTGAAATACAACCAACAGCATCGCAGCAAATTTTACATTCTAAGTGTCTAAAACCCAAACATAGCATGAGCTCCTTCTTACCCTGGATTAGGTTTGGAGGTGTGCCTTATGTTACACATCATTGCTTGTAAACTGTGTATCTTCCTGAACAGAACAGCTGCAGTGCAACAAGTTTGTACATAATATGTACACACTTGACTATATACACCCTCAAACCCCACTCTGATTTAGAGCCTCAAGAAAAATGTTAACTTACTTTGTAAATCATAGAATGGTTTGGTTTG